TCCAAGGCGCGGAGCAGGTCTGTGATTATGGCATGAGGTCATCTCCCCTGGAACAACATGGAATAATGTCTAATGCCCGTCTTTCAGAGACTCGTCACAGATCTTGTCATAGGTTCAAACGGAAAAGCTTTCAGCTTCTCGGTGGTGGGCTTTGACCTTCTCAGTCGGTGTCTGCTCCCCCCACACCCCGCCCTCCCCCGCCCTTGGCAGGAGACGGGGCAGATGAGCCACGGTCTCCAGGGTGCACTGAGGCCTGGCCTGTGGGGCCACCTGCCCGTCACCCCGCAGGAGTGGGGAAAGTGGCCCAGAGAGGAGCTGGGGGTTTGCAGGGAGGGCCGGACTCCCCCCGCCCCGCTCACAGGGACCCTCCTCTTCCTGGAGACCGTCACGGGGGACAGGAGACCTGTACGAGCACCCAGGACCCTGGGCTTCAACCCTGGGCAGCCTCCCAGAGCCGGGCTCGCCGAGACTGTCCCTGTCCCTCTGACCCCCAGGCCCGTCTGTGCAGCGGGGCTGCTCTGAGAGTGGAGGTCAGTGGGGGGGGCGAGAGGAGGACCGTGGTTCCTGAAGGGCACTCCTGGAGGAGGGGTCACTGCTGCCACCGAACCACGGTGTCTCCCCCGGTTTGCAGACAGTGACATCCACGGCCATGGAAGGCAAATGACCCCACGCTCTCCACTCACCCCGGGGGAGGTCACGAGTCCCGGCGGGCGTCCTGTCCTGTGTTTTGGATCGGCCCCTCCCAGGCCCCTCTGAGGACTCTGGGGGGCGGGTCCCCCGCATCCCGCTCACCCCCGTCACCCGCCCAGGTTGCCACGTCAGGCCTCCTCTTCCGCGGCCTCTGGCCAGCTGGCCACAGTGTCTGGCCCCGCTCTCTCAGTCCTGCCCCTCCCCAGGGGTGACAGAGCCCCCCTGTGTCCCCCAGGCTGCCACGTCCAACTGGCCTCACCAAGACTGAGGCAGGGCCGGGGCCCCGGGTCCCACCTGCTCCTGTGTGGCCGGGGCTGCTGTCCTTCCTCCAAATGAGTGTCACCCCCACCCCGCTGTCTGGCCCCCGAGACCGGGCAGCAGGACCCCCACACCTCACCCAGGAGGACCTGCCTTTGCGGCGTTGCGCCTTTTAGGGCCCCCACACGTGCTGGGGGGTCCTGGCCCCCCACCTGCATGAAGCAAGGCTGAGAGCAGGTCTCCACAGAGGACAGAGCCCCTCGGGTGCAAGAGCAGTCCGTCCCCAGACCGATGGGCCGACAGAGGACACGGCTGCCGCCTCTGTGCCGGGTCCCTGCACGGAGGAGGGTGCTCTCGGCTGCAGGTCTCTCCCCCGCGCACGCTCGGGATTGTGGCAGAATCCACCCGGCGGAAGTGCCCACCTGAACCCTCGCTCCCATGCAGCTCGGGGGGCGAGTTTCCCTTCTGGAGAGTTCCACCCCGGGTGACCTGTCCCCCGCCTGACAGTGCGGCCTTCTCTGAGGGCGGAGGCCGAGAGGATGAGCCCCCCGCTGTTCAGGGAAGGCTGTCTGTGGCCCTCAGGAGCACTGGGGCCCTGGGTGTCGCCCCCCACCTGCTTTCTGGATGACGAATTTGCTGGACCCGCTCACCAGCAGTCACCGCCTCACCTGTGCAGGTGAGGATGGAGGATACAGACGCGAGTGCCCCTGCCCCTCCTGTGCCTGGTGGCAAAGTGACTGGCAAACAGAAAGGGCAAGGACTTGGACATCGCCCAGCAAGTGTCCCACCCTTTGCTGACGGCCGAGCGGGGGCAAGGTTGGGGGGGTATGCCCCTGGAGACCACTCAGCGTCAGCACGTCTGGTGAACTCGCCCAGTGGTGGGTCTGCTGGGCTGAGCCTCCCCGACCCTGTTGTGGGAAAGGCCTTTGCAGACTGTCCTGTGGGATGGCGCCCCCAGTGGCTCAGGGGAAGCAGCTCCCGGGTGGATGTGTTCAGATGAGACCACTCTTTCTCCTTCCCTTCCCCTCTCTCTAAAAATAAATAAATAAATGAAATCTTAAAAAAACAAAACAACTTAAGACACAAAACGAGTGGTGAGAACCCAGGAAAAGACAGAGGAGGTGGAACACAAGAACTCAAAAGAAAATGACTTCCTTCAAAATAAAAAGTTTAATTCACATGAAGTGTAACCACGTGCGGTCTACGGACCCTCAGAAACGCAGCTCTGAAGGGGGCAGGTGTCAGAGACCGTCGTTCTGAAAACAATCTAACTCTTCGCCCAACGTTTGCCCGAGTAGGTGCCGTAGACAGGAGCGGCACGTTCGTTGAGTTTATCAACACGCCTTCTGCTCTGTCGCTGGCTCTCACCCAAAATCTTAGAAACGGACAACTCACTGAACGGCGTTCGAACTGAACACCGACTGGGAACGAAGACCAGCAGCAGCGGGCAGCGTCCTCCGTGCCCGCGCGAGGTGAGGGCGCCGACTGGGTCACCGCACTGCCAGGGCCCTGGGCTCCAGGGCCTGCTGCCTTGGAAGGGAATGAGGTAAATAAGCAAAGGATGTGTTAAAATTAGAAAATGACAGGGAGGATGCAAGGTGGTCTTAACTATTCCCAGTAGCTTCTCCGTTTGAATAAAATGGAGCGTGTGGTTCTATACTGTATTCTTCTCTTAAAGTAAAACTTCATTTATTCAAGGTCTAATAAATCGGTTTGATATTTTGTTCTGTTAAAGACCAAGAAAGGGCCCCTAATGTATAGCACCAGTGTTAATACCTGTAAAAAGCACACTTAGCCTGAGAAAACTGAAGACGTGCATGTTTATAAGCCAACGACCGGCCCCGGCCAGGTGGCTCAGCGGGTTGGAGCATCCCCCCTGCACCAAGAGGCTGTTGGTTCGGTTCCTGGTCGGGGTTACCGGTTCGATCCCCCGTCAGGTGTGTACAGGAGGCAACCAGTCGATGTTGCTCTTCCCTTTCCCGTCCCTCCAAAATCAATAAACAAATCCTCAGGTGAGGATTAAAAAAAAAACCGACTGCCAGTTTATTCCAAACAGATTGAAGATGCTCTGTGTGCTTCAAAAGAGTTGTACCCCCTTTATTTCAGTGTTAACAGAAATGCACGTTTTTGCCAATTTTGGTCAGTCTTCGATCCTCCAGTGGGGTCGAATCACTGACGTTGTCTGGAAGTGACCTTTACGCTAATCGATTCCTTGCCTTCTTCCTGCCTCACTGCACCTGGGAGTCCAGGGTGCAGCCCACCCCACGGGGCAGGCCCCGTTCAGGCAGCTCTGCTCTGTGGGGCGCCCGGCGCCGCCGCCCCCTCTGCCGGGAGCCTGCGGCTCCGACCCCGGTCCCCACGCGCAGCCCTAGGCCTGGTGGACCAGTCATTCACCCCACACACTCTGGCCGTGGAGGGGACAGTGCAGGACTTCCAACAACTATTCTAGATGTTTCTTGCTTAACTCTATTTCCTAAAATGGGGAGAACAGAATTCTCCCCACTGGTGAGAGCTGTTCCAACAGCTGGCTTAAGACTTGCCTTTGAAGCCGACTTCTCACGTACCTCGGTCTAGACGGGGTCCTCTGACGCTCTACCTATCTCAGGGGCGGCGCTGTCTTCCTAGGCAGGAAAGGTTCACAGTTAAGTGAGGTTTGCAACCCTCTCTAGTTAACCAGCCGCAGCCAAGGGTTCTCAACCTCTCTGCAGTGAAGCGCCACTACAAGCCCGCCGAGCGTGGGCTCGCTGCTACACGGGCGCTTTTCTGTCCGATGCCGAGGCAGGGCCGAGTGGGGCACGCCCCAGCCTGGAGGCGAAAAACGCCATGGTTTCGTGTAGCCTCCCGCACCCCACGTGAAAACGTGTCCCCACCTGCCTCGTCCCCTCTGCCACAAGGCGGCCTCAGTCTAGAAGCACAGGTGGGACGAGAGGGGCCCGCCTGCCAAGGAGTTCGTTTTACCGTGCTCCCCTGCTGCCCGCGCGCCCCCTCAGCGCCCGTGGCTCTCGTCTCCCTGCAGTTACGCTGACGTACTTGGAACTTGCCAGGGACCCAGGGAGTTTTCCACTCTGGGATACTTCTAAGTAGGCTGAGAATTCCTGATACTACCAAAAATGATGCAGTCTAAGATTATTACAACTACTTCAATTTAGCATGTTGGCCAGAAAAGGATTCAATTTCAGCCAGACTCCTTTCTTAGGGTCAGTGAGAAAGGAAGATTGTGACCACGGACACACCGACTGTGGCACCACAGCACACCAACGGTGTCGAGTCCTCCGCGCAGAGCGAGAACGGCAGCAGGCGAGGCTACGGTTATTTGGCTACGCAACTGAAATTCCTCTGACCGCTTTATAAAACTCACAGCAGTAAAATGTACCACCGAAACACTTTCTCCCATTAATCCCATTTCCGCTGAAATGTCAGTTTAGTTACGGCTGCTCAGGTCTCCCAGAATTCGAAAGCTGGCTCTTACATACCCAGCGTCATGAGAGGGTCAGCCAGAGGGTCAGCCGGGACGGCGGCGGCCCCGTCTCACGTCCAGTCTCTCCCTCAGAGGCACCCACTCGCTGCGAGTGCCCAGGGAGAGTGGGTCTGGCTCCGGGCCACACTCCATGGACAGAACGACCGGGCTCGGAGGGAAGGTTGTAAGACAGCTGGTAAAGGATGGCAAATGACGCAGAGGCTGAAGGACTAGCGGGACAGAGCAGCGGTTCTTTTCTAGCGAAGTTCAGTTTGCTTCTCACCCATGTGCTGCACTTTTGCACATGCGAGAACCAGACTGAGCCGTCCGCCAGACACACACACAGACCCACGGGGAGGACGGTCAATGACAGTGAGGTGGCGGTGTGGAAGAGCAGACCTCTCCAGAAAGCCCCAGGGCAGGACAACCCAGTTCCCGCAGCTCCGGGAGCCGGACGCCGGCTGCAGGGCCGGCACCTGCACCGAGGGGACTGACAAACTTGACGAGTCGGAAGTGAGACACACACCCATTACTTCCTTTTTTAAAGTCAAATGTGAGTGATTGCCACTGGTGAATAAAAACTCATGAGTCAGGATAGCATGCATGTTTTTATTTTTCCTAAGTCTATTTGAACACTTACTATCACAGCGGTAACTTCACGAACGGTACAAATGCAATACAGTGACATAAAGCTGCACCCGCCCGCCCGGACAGACATGGAGCATCGCCCCTGGAATCACTGACTACACGACACTGCAAGTTAGCAAACCCCGCCAGTGCTACAATGTCACCATATATGAATGTCAACACCACCCTTTCTCCTTGGCCGAGACACCGTCAAGGGCAGGCTAAAGGGACGCTTCACTGGAACGCTGACTCCAACCCCAAGGCACCCAACCCAAGGAGCAGCAACCCAGTGCAACGTCCAGCCAAGGAAATGATTTATTCAGCACATAAACAAAAATCCATGAAGCAAAAACATCACGACATCACACTAAATTCAGATAATCAACCCCCACAACCTCACCGTCTAAAATCTGACAGACGACACGCTGCCGGAATCAACTCCACGTAAACGGGCCCCACTGAGTCGGCAAGACTGCCTCGGTGCGTGGCGGCAGGGGGCACTCCCGGTCCCCAGAAAACCCACATGGGACCACCTCTGCCCTGTCGCCCTGGCTCTGTTGCAGGTCTTTTGACTTAAAGAAACGCCTCCCCTTCCCAGACCCTCCCATGTGACCTTCCTGGATCACATGCTGCTCCAGGAAGAGACGAGGCCGACCAGGGCGCCCTGGCAGGAGGCAGCAGTCTCGCCCCACCTGACTTGTCACTGGCCTTTCGCACGTCGTCACCTGCCCACTCTCACCCCACGGAGGTGCACTCGGCCTCGTGTTGCCCGAGTCCTCCCTGACCCTCCAGAGGAGGGCGTGGGGTCTTCTCCTCTCCCTGCCGGGCCTCGGAGGAACGGGGGGCACACAGTTCGGAGGGTCCCAGTGCGGACCAGGGCGGGTTCCCAGGCACCTGGCCGGTCTCTGGGCATCTGGGCCCAGTCCGGGACTCTGGAGCAGCACCCAGGTCGGGGGCAGTTCCGACTCACTCATCAATTTAAAAGCCTTCTTTATCCTATACTTTGTTATTAAAATTTAAAAACCCTGTGATGAGCAATTTGACTATCTATTTAGGGGAACCCTGGTTCTCAATTCGCTTTTAGTCTCTGGGCTACTCCATAACCTGCCAGTTCCTCAGGAGCAAAACTGGCATCCGCTCACCCAACACGGGGCCCCCTCGAACATCTGATGAGTGAGTGGTCCACACACAGGGTCTCCGGCTGCTCTTGTTCGGCCGATTAAACCTTCTGTGTGTAGTAAGACACGTGACCTATCTTCGCAGGCAGATCTCGTCTCACAGACTTCTACAGGGTACGTTCCAGCAGAAAGTGTAACGACAGTGAGTTTAAAGCTCCCGGTGCCGGAGAGCGTGGAGGCGGAAGGGCCCCAGCCTTCCCAACACCGTCCTCGCAGTGCGGTGCGCGTCCCTGTCACCACGGGGCCTTCTCGTCGGCTACTCGTGTGTGAATGACATGCAGAACGAGACACGCGAGGAAGGCCGGCTCCGTCACGGGCGCTAACACTGCTCTGCGGGCGTGCCGGCCTCAGAGGATGCTTTCTCTTTCTTCCCCGAAGCCCGTGCTCTCAGAGGGGGCCACCGCCAGGAGCTCGGAAGAGTCCTTGGACAGCCGGCTGTAACTGGAGCGCGGGCCTCGCTTGTGCGCCGCGCTCTTCAGGTTTTCGTTTTGAACGGCCGTCGAGCTGGAGCTGGAAGCGGGCCTCAGAATGACCTGCGGAGTCTCCCGGGTGCCGTCCCTGTCATCGAAGTGCTGGTGGGCTCGGTTGGCCGGCGCGCTGTTGTTGTTCAGGGTCACGGTGCTGGGTGTGCGGTTCAGGTTGTAGGCTTTCTGGCACGCGGGCCAATTCTCTTCGGGGCTGCTGGCGATCAAGCTGCACTCGGACGGGCTCTTCTTGTCTTCGGAGCAAATGGACATCCGAGCCATGATGGGGTCCGGCAGGCCGCTGAGGCTGTGGGGGACTCCCCGGGGCCCGCTGCGGCCGTCGTCTTCGAGCTCGATGAGGTTGGCCTTCTCCAGCTGGGGGTCGTCGGCGGCTTCGGAGTGGTTGGGGGAGCTCTCGCTGGACCGCACCCCGGAGTCGGAGGAGTCCTTCTTGTCCAGGAGGGCGTCCGTCAGGTACTCCTTCGCTTTGATGAAGGTTCTGATGGGCTCGGCGCTGTGCTCCGGGGACTTGGACGCGCGCTCGGCCTTCCCTTCCCCTCTCTTGTCTTTGTCGTCTCTGAGCAGCGGGGTGTTGTCAGACTCCTCCGTCCCAGACTCGTCCTCATCACTCGGGAGCTTCTGGTAGCGCAGTCCCCCGCCCTTGAGCTTCAAGTCCGTCTGGAAGAGACTTGACCTCTCGGAGGACTTCTTGCCCGGAAGGAGCTTACTGCCCGACTGATCGGACTTCTCGTCTTCTTCTGTGATCGGGTCCAGGGGCGAGGCGTCGTTGGTGGAAACCCCGGATGAGGAGTAATCCAGGACGTCCCCCCTCTTCATCAAAAACGGCTTCCTGCCGTCGTCTTGCTTCGGCTCACTGTCCTTCCCCTTTTCTGCTTCCAGGTTAGAGTGGATGGAGCCCCCCGAGGAACTCTGACCCATGTAATAGGCGCTGTGCGGGGAGGACCTGCCGCTGGCCGCCGTGGAGGCCGGGCCCCCTTCTAACTGCGCCATCTGAGCAATGTACTCCCTGTACGCGTCTCTGTACTCAGCCTGCACCTTGTCCGTGAGCTTTGAAATTTCAATGCTGGAATCCTGGGAATTGAGACTCGAAAGACTTGGGGTTCTGCGAGTTTGTGACTGTGAACAGAAAAAAAAAAGAGAAATCAAGTAAGCAAAAAACAAAACCAAACACATCAGCTTAGCAATTTCTAGTCTTTGACACACCAAATTCTTTTAAAAGAATTCTACCTGACACAGAACAAAAGCTGTGAACTACAGAAAACTGTACTGTAAATAAAGCGTTACGCAGATTTTAATAAAACTGGTTTAACGTTTAAATATAATTAAGGGTTGTATTAACAAATAATCCCAGCACCTGTTTTTATAACGCTACACTTCTAACTTTTGCTTAAGGGAAAAGCTGCCTCCACTGACCAAATGGGAAACCCCTGGGAAGGCAGACACCACAGTCGAGCCACGTCTGGAAAATGGAGGCTCGTGTCTCCAAAGCACGTTGAAAAGAACCTCTCTCTCCACTGTAACACTTCTGTCACATTTCAATTCAGAGTAAAAAAAAAAAAAAAAAGGATTTGAAGGAACAGAATGCAGAGTGCCACAGAAAAGGGAGACAATCATAGGAGCCAAACAGAAATTAAGGCCACGAGGCCAACAGCCAGGTCCTAGCAAAGAGAGACATGAAATCGTTTTAAAAGGTTGATTTCCAACATGAACTTCTCTGCTTAGAACTGCTTTTGATCCCAGAAAAGCTAACAAACGAGGAGTAAAAAGCAGAGATTCGGAAAAAGAGGGGAACGGAAGAAAAAACTTGAGGGGGCAGAAGAAATGGGCGGAGGCCGAGACTCAGGAGCGAGCGGAGCGTCCATCGGCAGGGAAGGGGGTCCTGGCCGGGGCAGGCCCGGACGACTCAGCCCAAACACCGACCCTCTGCTCCCAAAGGCCGGGTGCTGCCCCCCCACCCCAGGGCCCTGCAGGTCCAGACTGTTTCCATGCAGATGGAGACACCACCTGCCTCCTCACTCTCCAGGGCGGGTGCCCTCACGAGAGAGTCAGCGCAGCCGCGGACCTGGGCTCTGAAGGCTCTTCTGCCAAGTCGGGCGTTAAAAAACTTGGGAAACCCATCATTTCCACTAAATTTTGTTTTGCTTTGGAAAATACTGTCATTTTTCATAAAAATGTTAATAATAGGCTTATTTTAAATAAGTGAATGTTTTAGAAGTGTCTCCATTTGTATTTCTAATATAATAAACATTGACAGATAAAATTTACATGAACAAAAGCTCCTAAGGGTCTCCAATAATTTTTAAGAGTGTAAAAGGATCCGAAGTTTTCTTTTTCAGACAGAAGTTTGAGAACTGCTGCATCAGGAGGAAGGCTGTGAGTCTCCGGGTCACGGTGGGACACGCCAGGTGTGGAGTGACAGAGGAAGGTGTGCGAATCCCAGTGGAGAAAAGGGACCCACCGCCTTGAGACCCAGAAAAGGGGGCGGGTGTGGGTCCATCACAATGTGAAATCAGGGGGTTTTTTCATCTTTGTCAACACCCAGCCACAGAATGGTTTCCCAACTTATTCCAAGAAATAAGGCGGATAGTATTTAGGAAAAGACAATGACAACGGGGAAAAACATTTTTACTCCCAAACTAAACAAACGCCCTTAAAAATGGCAGACCCACCAAGTCGAGTTTCCCAAACATCGCTCCCTCTCAGCGGTTTGTCTGTAGCTACTCTCCCTTGTCTTCCTCCCTCACGTGTCTTCACGCCCCTGCTGTTTCTCTGGTTCCCACCCCCACTTGTCCCCCTGGCCCCGCCCACTCTCCTGGCCCCGCCCACCCACTTCTGAGAACACTCCAGGACCGAGCAGGCACATCTGCACGTAGGTGATGCAGAGGAAGCGAATACCCACGAGGAGCATCTGTCCCACGAGAAAGCGAACTGACGCTCCTAGGAGAGCACGCGCAGGCTTTCCAGGGCAGGTGTGTTCCGACCAGCAGCCAGTGAGCGTGCCAGGGCACGAGCCGCGCCCCGTCTCTGAAGCAGTCTTGGGTCCCTGCACAGCTCCCGGAGAGCGCAGTTTCCCAGTGACCTGACCTGCGCCCGCACGCGGCGCTGACCAACCGAGCACCGCCCCATCCTCAGGGACAGGGAAGGCTGTGGCGTGCACGCACCTGCCAACTGAGGTTGCTGTGACGCGGGGCGCCCTCGTCCAGGCCGAGCGTGTTCAGCTCCTCGAAGCTGAAGTTGAGCGTGTACGGCGCCTGACCGGCTAGCTCGGTGTGCGGCAGCTCGCTGTGTGGGGCGCGCCGGGTGGCGTCGCCCGGGGGTGCGGGGCCACTGTTCTCACTGAGCAGCCGCGGGTCTTCCGAGGCCAGCTGGGTTTCTGCGCTTCTCATCTCCAGCACCTTCGAGAGGAGAGAAACCACTTCCAGCCACACTGCCCAGTCACATTTGAGAAACTTCAGAGATTATTTTAAATTAGAACAGTATAAAGTTATGACAATGGCCATGAGAAAGCATACTTCCCATAAGTGAACGTCTACTCTGCTCATCCTTCATTTTAATACTAAAAGAAGTAACGGCAATGATCATATTTCCACTATACTCTACTTTGACAATTACTCTCTTATTTTAGCTTAAAATTTAACTTAAGAACAAAACCAAAGCCCCAGGGGTGCCAGAGAAAGCCAGGGCGGGGCAGCAGCAGCAGCAGAAGCAGGCTGAGGACCAGAGACCTGGGCTAGAGCTGGGCGCAGTCTAGAAATGACGCGGACCGGGCGCTGCAGCCAGGGGTAGCGGCGGAGGGGGCGAGGGGGGCGGGGTGTCCCATGGACAGAAACTCAAGGGGAAACCACAGGGTCCGTGGTGTGAGGCTGGTTCAGCTGCTCGGGTGGATTCCTGGAGGCAGCGGGGAGTGGGCGGTGGTCAAGGAGGAGCCTGACCCCGCACGAGGGGGGGCAGACACGGAGCAGCGGTTCCTGCTACACTGGCCTGACAGGGCTCCTGCCGTAACCGGGCAATGCAGGCCAGACACCAAGGCCCAGGCCTAGAGGCTCCGAGGAGCCGGACTGGAGGCAGGTCAAGGACAGAGTCTTTGTCAGTGAAGCAGGGAGAATGAGCAGGGGCCTCTTTCCCACATTTCAAAGTGAAATGCCCAAAGGCCAAGGTCACCACTTGCTGCTCTGGACGCTCTGCCTAACAGAACCCACAGGCCTGGGCAGAGGTGTGAGATGCCATTTTCTCACGCTTTTTAAAAACACAGAAACATTTCCGTTTAGACCAACACTCACTGGCACTTGTTTCACACAATGTTGTAAATACAAAGTCTCTTACTGCGCTTCTAAAGAGATGCCAGTCTCCAAAATTCATGTTCATTTCTTTCTTCAGTTCATCAATGTTACACTGAGCTAACACACGGCCATTTATGTTCGCCTGAATAAAACAAAGAAACAGAAGAAATGTGACGTATTCTAATTACAAGTGATTTAAAGGTACGTTTATAAACGCAGCGTCAAGAGAATCATTGGAGCCTAGAAGACCTGACCCAAAGAAGTCATCGCCCCACTTAGCGATGGAACAACCAGGCTGAATGGTGACAGCGTGAGCCACTTCGTGCCTCCCCAAGGGTCTTAAGCACCCAAGTAAAACAAGCCACCACCCATCAGGGACAGACTCAAGAGCCGACCTCCCAACTGTTTCCGAAACCACCGGGCAGGACTGTTAGCTCCTCCCCTAGTCTGGCGAGTGCGGGCCAGCTGCTGGGCAGGACCAAGCTGTCTATCTGTGTGGGCCCTTGACAGAGGCCTATAGGAGCAGCTGCTGTCAGACACCCCCCCCCCGGCCCCACCATCCGTCAGCCACAGCAGACGACGTCAGATGTATAGAATGCCCGCCCACTCGTCTCCGAGCCCCCTGAATTCACAGACGTGACTGCATCATGACCAGATCTCTGTGACTCCAGCTTCCCCCAAATAAGAAACGATGAAATCTTCCTTATGGACAGCAGGCAGCTTACTGATTTTCAAAATGCGAGCCCTGCTTTGGCTCGTGGCTGCCTGCATCCAGAACTGGAGAAAAGTGTGTGCGAAGCAGGCCCAGCCCCGGCGCCTGTGGCAGGACCACAGCCCACAGCAGCAAGCAGCCAGCTGCCCGCGAGATGCGAAAAGCCATGGCCTGCGGCGAAGCGCCGAGGGGGGACCCCCTGATGGAACAAAGCCACCACCCAGGGCTCCCACTAGGACCCGGCTCGGTCCTGACGCTGGCCCCGCTGCCGAGAGCTGGACCTCCGGTCTGCACCTGCGAGGGGCAGAGCTCGAGGCTTCTGCAAACGGGTCGGAACCGGGTCTGCGAGGACAGGGACGCCATGTGAGAGTCCTCGGACTGAACAGGGGGAGTGAGTAGGGCGGACCCGTGTCTGCTCCCGGCTCTTCTAAGGTGGCGTCCTTTACTGTGGGGAGACCCTGGGGGCTCGTCACTGGGGCTCTACTTCACTGCGCTTCCCCGACAGGCGGAGGGTAATGCGGTGGAAGGAACCACTCAGCCAGGCAGCCGCTCAGTCCACCTCGCCCGCCTCTGAAGCCCCGGCGTCACTCTCCCACCCGAGGCAGCGCTGGAGTCACAAGAGTCCCATCGAGGACGCAGGAGGCCTCCTCGCACGTCTTATCCTTGCAAACCCAAACCCGTGAGCCTCTGCCACATGGGACGTGACCAGCAGTCCTGAGGGACAGGAAAATGCCAATCTGGGGGAGATGAAGCCAGTGTGGCTCACTGGGGTGGTGCTTAAGTCAAAAACACCACCAAAAGGAAAGGAAATAGAGCATTTGAAATAGACAGAAACAGAACTGTCTGTCTGAAGGGAAACGTGAGAGCTCGGCAGCCCCCAGCAGGGCGCTTCCTCCTCTGTCAGGTCCCCGTCCAGCAACGTGGTAACGCAGCCGCTGGGTTCTCTTCATCCGCAAGCACAGGGGGGGCACCAGGGCGGTCCAGGGTGCAGGTCAGAGCCTGGCCCGGCTGCATCCACAGGGCTGCGGGGGGGGGGGGGGGGGGGCAGGTCCGGGAGCACGCACCTTCCTGATGGTGGCGCAGTACTGCGGCAGCAGGCTCGGCTCCAGCCCCTCTATCTGCTTCAGCTTCTCGCACACCGCGTCCACCGTCATGGAGCTCAGCAGCGCCATTCCTGAGGCGGGGCCCGGCCCCTGCAACAGCCATGGGGACACACGTCAGACACATGCAGCCAGGTGGGCACGACACTCCAGAAGTGGTGCGGTGGTGTGCTCTGACCACAGCGCAAACTTCAACGGGGGCAGTGCGGGGACAGGGCACTGCCGCACCTGTCGAGCGGCTCGCAGCACGGCAGACGTGCGGCCTGCTCGGGAGCGCGCCTCGAGGAGTCAGGCCGTTCCACGGACCGAGCCCGGCCTCCGGAGGGAAGGGGCAGCCTCCGAAACAGAAGGACTTACATGGAAGTAAATTCCACCCAACAAAATTTTGTCTCATTCAAAAGAAAAGTCGAAATGACTAATAACTCCAGCACTGACTTAGAAGAAACCCCTCCGACCGTGGTGGCCCACCAGAGAAGTGTCCGCCCGCAGTCAGGCGACACGTCCTGCATCACAGGGACGCCCACTGGGGTCTAGATGGGTCGCCTTTGTCTTCCAAGTCACAGACCGAGGACCTGGCTAAGGCAGTTCTGGACCAGAACCCTAACACACCTTAACTTCCTATGTTCCTTGCTCTATTTTTGAAAGTTTATGGAAGCAATAGCCACGATAAAGAGAACCAACCAACAAGAATAGAGGATGAAGACAATTTTCTAAATGATCTATCCTGTTTATCATTCAATCTAACTTTAAAATGATCAAACGTATCCTGTCCTCAAGGCTCTGTAAATCTGTATTTCCCATTGCCTCTTTCATTACCACCAGGACAAAGGTAGACGGTAACACAGCCCAAACTACCTGTCATCGAACACTGTCGGACAATCGTTAAAACTTACTTGTCATGTAAAAGTGTAACACATCACTCTATTATAAACTGATAAACCTACACACTTAGAGTATGTGCACAGCATCTCTCGATATTGCAGGTAAATGCAGTTCGAGCCAGGGCATGAGGCCAGGGCATGAGACCAGGGCACGAGCCAGGTGGGGCAGTGACTCTGTGAGAGGCAGGGGGTCTCAGCAAGCTGACAAGTATGAGACAGGCCCATAGAAGTTTGGAAATGAATGACCTGGAGCACATCGTACCAAACACATTTACTCAGTTTGTTTTACTAAACACATTTAAAATACACTGTGTGTTACATAGTCCAGGGTTAAATTCCTTCAAAAATACTAACAGCAAAACACTGGTGTTTCAACGATTTGGTCTTCACATCTATACACAACTCTACTTTCAGCCTGGACACACAGAGCCAGCATTCACTGTGATTATGCACCACGCGCTCGGAAAATGTAAGACGCTCCCTCCACATTCCTAGACCCACTGGGGCCACACTGGTTAACAGTGCCATGTAAGGAAGTTCCAGACGCCGGACCTCACACTCAGTCTGCACACTCTGCTGTGCACTCATCCCTGAGGCCCAGTCTCCGTCCATCGCCACGGATATGACCCCTTTACTCTCGGTCCCCTCCCCCCACCCACCGGTGACCACCATTCTGGTGTCTGTGTTGCTTAGTTTGCTTGTTGTTCTTTAACTGTACCCCACACATGAGTGATACCACAGGGCTCTGTCCTTTTCCACCCGACTTAGTTCATAAGCACAACACTCTCCAAATCCACCCATGCTGAACCAGGTGGGAACTTTTCACCATTCTGGCCGAGTGGTGTTCCACGTAGGCATGTGCCACTCCCTTACCCAACCATCCACCGGAGGGCACTCAGGTAGCTTCCACGTCTCAGCCACCGTGAATGATGCTGCAATGAACACAAAGGTGCGTATGCCTTTACAAGTCAGAGTTCCCAAAAACTTCAGGTGGATACCCAGAAGAGGAATTGCCGGGTCGTATGGTAGTTCTGTTCTTAAATCTGCAAGGCGCCTCCACACTGTGTCCCGCGGTGGCCGTACCAGTTCCCTCTCCCACCAGCAGGGCACGAGGGGTCCTCCCTCTCCAGCTCTTGCGGCGACCCGTCATGTTGGTGACAGCCCTTCTCTTCCAACAGGGGCGAGGTGGCATCCCATTGTGGTCCTGGTCTGCACCCCCTTGTAACTAGTGACACTGCGCACCTCCTCATGTATCCGCTGGCTGCATGTCTTCCTTGTTGACCTATCTACTTAGGTCCTCTGCCCATTTTTTAATCGGATTTTTTTTTGTTGTCCAATTGTGTGAGTTCTTTATATATGCTGGATATTAGGCCTTTATCAAAGGTGTAATTTGCAAATCTCCCATTTGGTTGGTTGCCTTCTTGTTTTGTTTTTTTGCTGTACAGAAGCTTCTTATTATTTATTTGCAGAGTTCAGCTTTTTATTGACTGTGTTACCAAAGAGGGTCAGTCAGAAAGACTGAAGTCCTTTCTTTGCTTCCCGTCCTCTTCCCCAGCTGGGGCATTAGGTAAATGCCTCCGTGGCGGCAGGGGCAGGCCTCCTGCCGGTGCAGCACCGGCTGCCAGGGCAGGTCCACCAGCCTCTACACTGCGGACAACGCTCCCCGTGCTGACCGCTGACAGCCTTCGCCAACCAGCCTGGCCAGAATGGGTCAACATTTACGGCAGCAGCTTAAATGCGGGCATGGATCTTAGCCTCTGTCACCGCCACCTCATTGGCGTGAAGGACAAGGGCGGAGTTTAGTCAGAAGCGGTCCCATTCATTTACTCTTTTACCTCTCTTGCCTGCGGGGTCAAGTTCACAAAGAGCTCACTCAGACCAAGGCCCGTAAGTTTGGCACCTACGTTTCCGCCCACGTAGTCAGTGTTTCCGGCCCCACAGTCCAGCCTGTGACCCACCGTGTGCCGGCCCGGTGCGTGGTGTCGGCAGTCCCGCCTCATCCGCCAGCGTGGGGCTGCCCAGTGCTCTCCACCACCTACTGAGGAGGCTCTCCTTTCTCTGTTGCAGGTTCTGGCTTCTTCGTTGAAAACTGGTTGCCTGTCCACGTGTGGGCTTACTTCTGGGCTCTCAATTCTGTTGTGTTTCCCTGTTGTTTTGATCACTGTAGCTTTTGCAGAATGGCTTGAAGTCAAGGTTTGTTCTTCTTTCTCGGGGCTTCATGGCTATTCAGGGTCTTCTGTGGTTCCACAGATTGGAAGGTTTTCGGTTCTGCTGCTGTGGAAAGGGCCGTGGGGATTTAGTCGAGCGACGCACTGCACCTGCACGTGGCTGTAAGTAAGGCAGCCACCTGGCCCACGCGGATTCTTCCAATCCACGAACACGGCAGCTTCCTCCTTCCGTGCACCTCCCCCAGTTTCTCCCAACAGCACACGGTGGTCAGTGCGCAGGTCCTCCACCCCCTTAGCAAGTGCATTCCTCGGTACTCGACCCTGGTTGCCGCCCTTGCAAACGGGACTGTTTTCTCCACTTCTTTTTCTAAACTTCACGGTTGGTAAACAGACGTGACAGATCTCTGTGTATTGGTTCTGACCCCTGCAATTTCTAGTATCTGTGTGCTGCTTCTGAAAGTCCGTCGGCGAAGTCTTTACAGTTCTTCTCTACGGAATCACATCATCTGCAAACAGTGGAGGTTTTAGTGCCTCCTTCCTTCCTTGTTCAGACACCTTTCCTTTCCTTCCCTCACCGGACCGCTCTGGCTGGGACTCCAGCCTCAGGCTGACCAGTGGCAAGCGCGGGCCTCCTGTGTTGCCCCTTATAGCAGAGGAAAGGCGCTCAGCCTTCCCCCTGGGTGTGGAGTCAGCTGAGATCCCGTCAAAGATGGCCTTCATTCTGTTCAGGCACTTTCCTTCTAACCCACCTGACTGACTGTTTCCAGCATGCATGGGTGGCGCATCTTACCGGACGCTTTTCTCTGTCTATCGTCACGATCACAGACGTTTAGCTTTACTCCATCAACATGGTGCATGGCACTAACTGATCTGCACCCACGCCATCCTTGTGCCCCTGGAACAAGCCCCACCTGACCACTACCCTTGGCTGGTGGTTTCCCTCTCGGTGTCGGGACTGTTCCATTCTGTTCTCTCCTGGCTTGTGAGGTTTCTGCAGAAAAATCTGAGGATACTCTGACGGGGTTGCCTTTGTAGGGAACAGTCTCTTTTTCCCTGGCTGCCTTGGGAATTGTTTACTCGCTATTAACTTCTGATAGTTTTAAGGTAATGCGCCATGAAGGTGAGCTCCCCGTGCTGAGGTATCAGGCGTTGTCAGCTTTTCGGCTTCAGGGCTCCAGCTTCTTCTAATCATGAGGACGTGGCAGCTAAGCTCATCTAAAGGAATGGGCCACAAAACAGCTGACCAGCATCCTCCGAAAGTACTAAGGAAGGTCCTGGGAGACAAGGGAAGACCGAGGCATTGCCACAGATTAGGGAACTCTGAGGAGAGACGACAAAACACTACGGAATTGGGGACCGGACGAGAAAAGGGGCATTAGTGGGAAAATGGTGAACTTCGAATAAAATGTGTAGGGTAGTTACAGGATTGTATTAGATTTATCATCTGCTACTGAAAGTACACGATTTAAGAAAGATGTTAACATTAAGGGAACACTATTTTTGTGCCTTTTCTTTACGTCTAAAATTATTTTAGAGTAAAAAGGGTTTTTTTTAAATCACACAAGAACTCCATTTCCAATAGTGCTCAGGGGGCAAGTACAGCAGCCACGAAGCAGAGGGGCGTGTGAAACGTTAGGCGTGTGTCTTGCACGGAGAGTCTGCCTGAGAAGTCAGTCAAAGAGACTTTCTTTCAAACAAAAACCTCCACATAGTTTAACTTTCGCAACCCCTTTTAAAACTTACGTTTTATCAATCACTTTAAAACACATTCTCCCCGTCACTGAGGACGGTGTCAGAACCGCGCCATCTCTGAACGGCCCTACGAGCCCCGCGGGCCGAGGAGGCTGCACGCCGGGGCCCCGCTACTCCCTCGGAGCTGCGGCCGATCCAACTGGCGCTTGGGAGCTAGCTTTTTCGAGTAAACGGTAAATTACCGATAAATTAAAATGTAACAATATGCTTCTTTGAATAAAGGAGAAATGGTCATAACCCGCCAGGTCTTTTCTGAAATAACCATAGATACTTATTTTGGTACCAAATGAAAGTAACCAAAATAATGAATTTGGGGACGGAATCTCATAAAAGGAAGAGAAAGAGTACAGAAGTGACAGGAAAAAGCACATGCAGTGATTCAACAGGTAAATACTTGGACATAGAACAGTGATACTTTCAAGTTTATCGTGCATTCTTATTTGAAAATTACTTGTTACAAGTCAGGAACGGATGATTTCAGCATAAACCAGAACTGACTTTCGAAAAATTTTTTCACACACAGAATTGAATGCAGAAGATGTTAGTTTGTTTAAACTGCTAAATATAAATTCCAAAATGCATACAAATCAAAATTTCTCCAGGCAAAAGTAAAGCTAACAAAACAGGCTAAAATGACCTCGATGTGACAATATAACTTTATATTGTGAGTAGATTAAAACTATACTCTGAAGCACCATCTTTGGTAAATGTATGAAACGAGCTCAGAACTAACGAGCCAGCGACGCGGGCCATGCGGAGGCTGCAGGCGGCCAAAGCCGAGGGGGTGAGCGCACACTTTTCCACACAGACTCCGCACAGCCGGTGCCAAGAAGCTGCCGACGCATCCAGTGACTTCGCTGAACGTCTCTGTACCTGTCTCTGCGTGTCAAACCCAGAGTCACTCGGCTTTAAAAAAGGAATAAAACAGAATGAAGGACACGAGCTTCCAGGAAAACGTCAAACACGAGTGCACACAGCAGACACACGCAGCGTTTTGTCGTGCTCCCGTCTCCCCGGAACTCTGAGCCAGCCACCTCCGCTGCAGCACCAAGCGAGGTCTCACCAGCGCATGCATGGACACTTTAATGCTGCACTCTCCGAATTTACACTCCGCTAAAGGAATCAATCACTGCCATGCGCTCAACAAGAAAGCCTGGTAAATGAAATTCATTATGAAAAGTCAATAATCCTACCACATACGAATTTACAGTTCATTGTTAAACATTCTGACTTAAAATCACAATGATGTAATGCAGACCAATTTAATGAGATTTAATACTTGGAATTATCACGATCACTCCAAAAAACAAAACACTCTCTAGCTACACTACAGTTAACATTCAAAACACACACTTGAAATCTGCTGTTTGTTCCATGAGGCGGGAGGTCCACACATGCACTGAAAAAAGGCCTTTACAAAGAGAGGCAGTGGGAGCCTCGCGGTCCAGCGGGCGGAGAGTTCCAGAAACTCTCTCACTCACAGCAGACACAGTGGCGGGACTGGCGTTCCTCACCTACGGGAAACACTCTTACAGCAGCTCAAACGACCGACCGAGAGACGACCCACAGCACTGACCGGCCACTGCGCGGCGCTGCGTCCGCAGAAGGAAGCGAGTGCCCTGCAGGCCGGGTGGGAAGCTCCCTGCCCTGCCCAGTAACCTGTCTCCTAGTTCACCCGTCAGCCTGTGGCAGGGGGGCTCTCTGGAGAGATCCCGTGCGTAAGGGTGGGGGCTAGAAAAAGCATGGGCAGAGGAGTGCTAAGAAAGGTACAGTTTACTTCAAAAGACCTCACACACAAAAGAAGGCTATTGTTGACCTGGCTGGACAATGTGCCTTACTCTTCAGATACCTGAGAAATAAGATTAGGTCAAAGTTGACAGATGAGGCATAATGTCACATTTTAAGGGCAATGCTTTAAAAAATAAAAGCATTAAACAACAGTAATGAATATGATTTTGTTATTTTTTAACTATGCTCTTGGATTTCAACACTGTCATTACTACAATATCGTATTTCTGCGAAAACTGCTCAGTCCACTTACTTGTGGTTTCCTCACTGTTTGGGAACAAGGCTGCTTCGAGCCCAAGTCTGGCACACAGACTTCCACTCGGAAGCGAGCACAGTTCCCCACCATGTCCTGACCGAAGACACAAGCTGGCCCCCCCAGACTGAGAGAGAAGAAAAACGTACTTCTTGGGCCTCCGGGAGATGCTGCTGGGAGCTGGCGGGGAGGCCCCCCCCAATCCCGCCCCCCAAGCGACGCCGGCCCGTGCCTTACCCGTGGCGTCTTTAACCTCCTTGTCCAAGTCCGCTCCTGGACAACGAGAGACAGCTTAGCAGCGACCAGTGTTCATGTGCAGGCAGGTAGCAAGTTCGAAACCAGGGGTGGAAACGAGCATCACCTACAGCTGAGCCCCCTCCTTCCTCTGTTCACGTGGTCACTCTGTGGACTTTCTAATCATTTAATGAAAACCAAGGCCTCCATTCTTAGTACCTTTATTAATTAACTCAGTAATTCCCATAAATCTCTAAAAATACTGGCCCAATAGAAACGGAGACAAGGTTTTAACCCTGCCTCTGCAACTCTGAAGTTCCTCCCAGTTAAGCTCTGAGCCGCCTATTTCCACGCCTTTTCTCTCGGTCAGGTGTAAGAGTGACCTGAACAGACACACTCACTGTCTGGGGAGTCGAGTCGCCCTGGGGCTGAGCAGGCCGAGCTACGGTGAGCGCTGCTCCCCGGCAGCCTTCCGATGCACGCCCCCCACCCCCAGGCGGGGCTTCGTCAGCTCCATTCACTGCTGCCCCCACCACGATGGCACCTGCCGGACACTCAGACATTGGCTGGACTGGGGACCGCCACACAGGCACTGGCAGTACATGCCAATCGACGAGCAAGTTGACAGAAGGCCACGGAAAGGTCCCGCCCCCCCTTCTGCTGGAAGAATGCTTCTTGGCGAACCACGGACACAGCCGTGAGCAGCCCTAAGCCAACGTGGACGCCCACTTGTGAGGGCAAGTCTTTGAAGTCGGGAGCCAAGTGCCCCCAAGAGGGCCGGGCTGGAGACGGGCCCTGCACGATGGGACCTTCCTGTCTCAGCCCCCGAATGGGCCCAATGCGGTGCCCCCCGCCCAGCTGACCTGGACGAGAAGAAGCGCCCGGGGAGCCCCCCTGGAGAGTTCTCACAGCAGGCCAACGTTCGGGGCGCACAGAGAGCCAAGCGTCCTGATGGCTCCGAGAAAACAAACCAAACGAGGCCTTCTCAGCCAGGGGAGCACGAGCAGGTGAAAGGCTGAGTTCGCCTAAACTGACGGGGTATTTGCACTGAGACAGAGGTTTTTAAACTCGAAGAGGTTTTAGTTTCTCACCTTTAAAGCTCCACACGAGAATCTGGCCCTGGGGGCGGTGGTACTAAAATTCGTCAGTGCTCACCGCGAGCTACAGCTGAGCACCCCTTACACGAGGCCTAGGAGGCAAGCCTGCTTTTCCCAGCACAGGAAGCTGCACATCAGAGGGGTCAGCAGTCTGCCCCAGCAACGAGCTGGCCAGCAGGGTCACGTAACTCAAAGGACCAGACCCCGGGCTCAGTCACATCCAGTGTCAACAGGACAGCATGGCCCGGGGCAGGGGTGGAGAGCAGCGGAGCGCGGCCCTCGGCTTCCCCCACGCCTGGCGCACCCCACTGTGTGGCTCAGGCAGCCTCGCAGACTGGGCCTCCGCCCCAGGGACCAGGGTCCTCAGAGAGTCCTCGAGAAGACAGCCATGTCTAAGGCAGGGCCAGGGCTCTCTTTTTACTGGTTTTATAAACTGGAGTTGTGGTTAAGATTCCATTTCTAAAAGGCTTCCCTGCTTTGAAAGCGGGGAAACATGCTCCCCTCCGGCCCCCGTGTCCTAGGGAACAGGAGCCCCCGTGTCCTAGGGAACAGGCCGCCGTACTTTCTCCCGGTTCTGTAAGATCCGGCACATATTCTCTCTACAGAGAAAACAGAGGCCAGCGCAGAGGCTTACATTCTACTTCATCACCTTCGCCATCCACAGTTGGACAGTTCTGGACTCATCTGGTAGGTCTGGGCTGGCCTTCCCTAGACACAACCGTCACAGTGGTCCTTAGTGTGAGAAAACCCAACGATTTTCACAAGGACGCACTTGATAAAGGCGTGTCGGAAATGCCTCGCGGTACAAAAGTTGGGACCACCCATGCTAAGAAGTTCACAGTTGGTTAATGCTTTATGGTCTGGCTTTTTTGCTGTGTTTTTACATATTTTTTTAACTTGTTATTCTGTGTCTATGATGACAATTTTTCAAAAAATGTTTGTGCACGTCCTGACTCACCCACAAGCAGCTCTTGTCAAGTGTCGCATTTAAGGGACAGTAAATGAACAGAGAGGGGCTCAGTCTGCAGCTCTGTTACCCCGAAAACGGAGGCAACTCTCTGCAACAGGACTGGGAAGTGCTATGGGCAGGAAGGTGAAGTAACGTTTACAGTAACTACGTCTGTGTTGGCTCGGAGCCGTCAAGAACCCAGACAATGCCCCACAGACAGATGCTCCTTCACGTTTCCACCACTGCTTTGACTTGGGCTTTGAACTAAGTGTCTACTTTTACTAGGCTTCTACAAAACAAATTTTACAGGCTTCTGTCATTGTTAATTTCTCAAAAGCAAAGAAAGCTCCGCAAGTATCTATTATTCACTAAGCAGACCACAAAATTATCTTTTTAATGCTACAAGAAAGCAAATAGCATGGTTATTCTACTAAACAAAGGCGCTAATATATTTAGAACATCTTTGCTCTTTGTTACTGGGCTTCTAACCACATCTCCAGAAGCGCATTCCTTCTCCTTCCCCCGGAACTCATTTCAACCTGCCGATGCTCCCTGGTGGGGCCCTGAGGGCCCAGGGAGCCACCTATTAACCCCGTGTGTTTATTCCCACTCTTCAGCATGGGAATGAGCACCGTTTTGGCACGTCTGTGACGCTGGACTATCACACTCCTCGGTGTCTGATGTCCACCAGAGGTGTGCCGAGGGGTGTTCGCTCAGAGAACTGCACTGCACATGTGCGTCCATGTGTCCCAAGCTGTCAGACTGAAGTCATTCTCGCACACAGTGGCCATGACCCATGGATTAAAGACCCCTCCAACACCCACACGGAATTACTGTGTTTTACTGTGCCAATCATTCACGGATAATTGAATTCACTCACGTGCTTCAGCTAAAACACTGATGATTTACCAAGAATCATCAACTCTTCAGTGAACACACCAAATGGTCCTCTTTCTCTTTCTCACTAACATTAACTCAGAATTAAAATTAAAAGAACTACTGTCCATCCAAATGCATGTTTTAGAACATCATGGGTAAACATGGATAAACTCAGGATGCGCATTTTATCACGTTAATCCCAGCGGCCATGCCGCAGCTCCGCGCAGCTCTGGATTAAAGGGGTCGTGTTCGCATGGGCATAACGTTCTGTGTGCAGATCAGCAGAAGTTAAAACACAAACCGCGTTCTGAAATTCCACACCGAGTGCACGGAGGTCGTAAGGCCCATCACATTAAATGTATTTCTTATTAGGTATAAATTCTTGAATAATAAAAATACAAAGTGACTTCCTACACAAGTTGATTTGCTTGTTTTTTTAATCTACTTCAGGGTGTTTGGGGAAAACAGGGGGGTAAAAGTCCCCTCTACATGGGACCAGCTCTGTGTTCACCGGGAACTTTGTTCTGACGATGCGCACGGACCACCCTGGGAAGCAGCAGCGCCAGCCTTGAGCAGCTGCCTCTGGTCGGCACCACACAGTGCACAGCGCCCTTCTGGAGTCTGACGGGCGATCTGGAGTATTTTCAAAAATATTCTCCACGAGCGGTACTAAGTGCGGGCTAAAGAAAACCAGGCCGAGGTGGAAACGGGGCTTCGCCACCATGGAGCCAACCGGCCGTGCCGCTGCTCAGACAGCGAGAAACTGAGAACGGGGAAAGCAGGAGGAGATGGAGGGCGGGCACCGGCCTCTTGGTTAACCCAGGAGCACGAAGGTTAGTAGCCAGAAGCTCTGCCCAGCGGCCGCCACACCCCAGACGCAGTTAGTGACCTTGGCTAGCACAGACGGGCTGCGCCCCCCCGCAGACCGCGCATTACCCTCGAGGAGGCCGTGGGCGAGGGCAGCCCCTCCGCAGTGTCCTCCTGGATAACCTCCTACCAACACAGAATGAGAGTGTGGGTGACAGACGCGGGGGAGCCACCCTGGGGGGGACGAACGCGATGGCAGAACAACAACATGAAACACGGAAACCTGGAGGGACTGGATTTTTCCTTCAGTGACAACATTGAAAATTTACATAGAAGGTTAGGTCCTATATCTTTTGCCTCATAATTTATAAAAATATATTTCCCTGGCTGGTATAGCCCAGTGCATTGAGTGCAAGCCTGCGAACCAAAGGATCGCGGTTCGATTCCCAGTCAGGGCACATTCCTGGGTTGCAGGCCAGTTCCCAGCAGGGGACGCACAAGAGGCAACCACACATTGATGTTTCTCTCCCTCCCTCCTTCCCTTCCCCTCTAAAGATAAATAAATAAAATCTTTAAAGAAACATTAACAGGGCCTTCCTCTTTTTAGATTATTGAACTATTTACCAACAGGAACACCTAATATGTTAGGTACAAATGTATTTTGTTTTGGATTGGATTCAATAGTACATTTGAATAATTTTCTTATCCTATTTAATTTCTGACATTAGCTTAAAATGCTATTTCAGTACATCGCCCAGTTTCTACAGCGCAGAGCTCACACGCACACAGACACCACGCACGTGCGTGGAGGTTTGCAGCTGGCAGCCCGCAGGGAAGGCGGCGTGGTGAACCAGAAAGGCCACTGCACAGCTCGACCTTCGCCCGCCGGGGCTGCCAGTCGTTTCCAACCACAGATATTGAACAGACACAAAAGCAAAACACATTTTACGTTAGTAGTAGCTTATGTTTCTTAAAATGATTTATAAAATAAGAAAGAGCCGAACTCCAACGTTTCAGCCGTTTCTTACTGGATTAACACTTTAGTTACCCTTTTGCATACTTACTAGGCCATTGCTCTGCTCTCTGGGCAAACCCGATTTTACAGACGGACGTGAGATGAGGTGGTGGGGGCCGCCAGGGCAAGACCTTGGCGTGTAAAGGTGTGGGGCAAAGAACGGCTACGGAGAAAACATGCAACAAAAGAACGGGATGAACAATCACAGAAATCAAAGCGTGATGAGAGCTAGCAAATGAAACTGGCTGATCAAATATGACTCAGGACTTTCAACACAAGTGACAAAACAAAAGAAAAATGCCTCACTCAGATTCTGTAAGCTAGCAAACCCAAACCTGACATCTTATCTACATTGTTACATTGTTCATATACTAAAAGCTTTTTTTTAAACAACAAAAGTTTTACGCCTTGTAAGTTGATGCAAGAGTTTCTCTTATGGGCCTGTTTTCCTGTGTCAAGTTCTACGTGATTAACAAACACTAACTCACAATCTTGGTTCTTAAAAAGCAGAATAGAATCTTAACAGGAAACTATTCTTTACAAAAATAGCCCTCGGACTTTTCAGAAGCCCTGGTGAGGCACGGACTCCGGGAGTGCTCGCAGCCCGGAGCCCCTGGGGCTGGTTCGAGCTCCTCAATGCACAGGCGTGGTCTAGACGAGGAACCCGTGGCTGGGGTGTGACTGTGACCACAACGAGGGTTTGTGACCAGCTTCTTGGTAACAGGTGCCATCAGATGACATGGGTGAAAAACAAAGTTTAAAATTCCCCAAGTTTTATCACACTAAAGTAACACCTTTATCACTCCTGCTTTTTTAAGAAAATTATTCTGCTTCTACTTTCAGACTAAAAACCTCAGATAACTAGAGCAAAAAAATGACTAGCCCTAAAAACATGAGAAAACTTGAAACGTTTTAACAAGAGTAAGTTATCACAGTAGCATGTGACTGCTACTCATGTAAAATGGGTGAACACGAGGTCTCAGAAGTCTGGCTGTGGACTAGAGGTCGGCGGAGGCCTTCTAAGCCAAGTCACAGCAGGTCTCAGGCCTGGCAGACAAAGCCTGCCTTTCACGCTGCCTCCCGGCGGTCATGTTTCCAGGGGTGGGGCACGTCATAGAGCACCGCCCGCTCCCCCCTCCCTGTGAGGGCACAGAATGGAAGGACAGTGAGAGGGCCTCCTGGGACGGGGCAGTCACTCATGTGGCCAACACTCTTCCAGCTGGAACTTCAATGTACATTCTGGGACTCCTCCTTTGCCAGTTTGTTCTGAACTTCTCGTTCTTCCTGGCTCATATGAACTTTATATAGGCATGCACTGGGTTTGTAGAATATTAGTCCCTACATTTTCTCAAATCACATTAAAGAGGGAGACAAAAAGAAAAAAGAAAAAAAAACTACAGGGGACCAAAGAGCCGGTCCCGGAAGGTCTAATGGGAGGGCTTACGCCCCGCCCTCCTGTGAGGGGTGCAGGTGCCGGCGGTCAGCACAGGGAGGGCGGCCAGGGCCCGCTGCACTGACGGGGCCCAGCACCCCGGGAGTGGACTGCACTTCCATCCGTCTCCCCAAACGGGAAGCTGCCACGCTCACACTGGGTCAACAGTCCCACATGGCTGAAGATGGCTTGAACTAAGACTCTGGAAACAGGCTGTAGTGCTGTTATTTGGCAATAACATCTGAGTCCTACAAGCGTATTTTCCATTATTATCTCACATTTAAAAACTGTAATATATATTACACATAGGTTTAATGAACTGCAGAAATTTATATTTATCATTACTTTAAATGCCAATATGAATTATTATATAAAATATAGCAAATCAAACTTTTGTTTATCAACAAAGGTCCCTCTGAAGCATAGGTCAGTCTCTGCTGACCCTGCAGAATTCACTTTTTTACCAAGATAACGAAGAAAAGCAAAGGCATGCTAACATTCAGATTCGACTGGTATCTAGAGCCCACTGAAGTTCTTTTGATTTTTAAAACATCATGCACAAGGGGGGGACCCAAAAAACCCTGGAATTTACTTATAAAAACTTGTGTATTTATTCTTGCATGTTTTTAAACTTCAGCCACCTTCAAAATCCTCTCAATCTGATGCAATGCACCTAGTGAGACCTTTTCCCCACTGCTTACAACAGTTTTTGAACTTGTCAATTTTAATGCCTTTTAGTGCTTCTGCCACTTTTTGTTTCACCTGTTTCCACATCAGCAAAACGTTTCCCTTTGAGTACTTTTTTCATCCGGGAAAACAAAAAAAAGTCGCTCAAGGTGAGACTGGATGACTAGGAAAGGTGGGGGACAGGGGTCACGATGATTTTGGTCAAAAACTGCTGAACACTCAGCACGGTGTGGGCAGATGCGCTCGTAAATCACCATCGTGATGGGCAAATGAGTTGAGTCTTCAAAAACACTCACTGAAGCCAAACGCAGCCTCTCACAACAACGCCAGCTGCTTCGCCAACACAGACGGCTCTTAAAACACTCACCTAGCGAGGGAAGCGTGTACAAGGGGTCCAACCCTCCAGAAGACAATTCCAGTGTTTTTGGGTCCCCCCCCAGATACTGAATTCAAACTTAAACATTCCCCTATTTTAGAGCTAAAGGACAGTTTCGAAATGACACAAGCCCGCAGGCAGAGGCAGCGCCCCGGACACCCCGGCCGCCCTTACCCTGTTGTAGAACGGGTGCTGGGGCCCCGTCAGGCCGCTGTAGTAGCTGCTGTGCGGCTGTGGCGACAGCACCCCACCCCCAAACGGCCCGTTGAAGGATGTGGAGGAGGAGCAGACAGATGGGGCCTGACTGTAGCCCGATGGGGGTCTTGCGGGGGCTTCGTGCAAAGGCAGCGGGGGGTAGGCAAGCCCTCCAATGTTCATCTGGTCTCTCGCAGCACGAACGTCTGAAAGACAAGAGGACCCCCAGGCAGGCGGGAGAGAGGGGGACACCGGTATCTAGTCCAGGGACCACCATCTCCTTCAGTTGCCAGACAGAAGCGGGCGGCCCCTCTTGCCAGGACCCCCGCCACATTAACGAGGCAGACAGGACTCTGGCCAACTCGGAGCCCAGCCAGCGAAGCCCAGCTGCGCTGCAGGTGAGCTGTGCACAACGCGCCCCCAGCACCCGGACTCCCCTCTGCAGTGTCGGACGGCGGTGCTCTCTGGCTCCTTAAGGTGTCTGAGCCACTCAGCGTTACTCCTAGGATCCGTGCCGCGTCAGCATCTCCGCTGACTCCCACTCCGCTGGTGCGGCTGTGGGCTGGCAGGTGGGTGTACGAACGCGTCGCCCAGGCAGCGGCACGGCGGCCTTTGAGCAGGGGTCTGGACACAGAACCAGGGTCCAAGGCCGCAGACCCCTGACCCCAGGGCCACCCCAGGGGGTCGGCCGTGCAGATTCGGCCGAGGACAGTGTGTTTCAGCACAGGGTGCGCGCAGCACACACAGCGCAGCCTCCAGAACAACTTACACTAAACTCCGAAGCCCCACATCCCCGCCCTCAAGGTCCAGTCCTCAAGGTTAGGGTAAAATTTAAAAAGGGATAGAAAGATTTCCTCACCTCTCTGGGTGAAGATCCCTATTAAGGACAGAAAAATTACAACAGACTGCTACAGTGGCGACTAAAGGTTAAAAGACTGACCCGGAGTACGGATTCGGGTGTGTGGGTTGGGAAACACAATGACAAAGTGAGCGTAACAAATACCATTTTCCTAACGTCCCCACAACACTGCCAGGCCTCTGATCGTCCACCGTCCCGTGCAGGGCTTGGCTCGCTACGTCCTGGTTTCCCACAGAGCAGGAGACGCTTACGCAGCTCAGTCAGAAACAGGGCCACTTTTGAGAACTTAGGGAAGGGAGTCGATTCTGCTGCTGACGCCCACCTGCGATAATCTCCCGCAGCTTGGGGTCGAGGTTCACGGTGCACGGCAAGAAGGTCTTCACATCTCGAGCCACGAGAACTGGGGTCCTTGAGGATAAGAACACTTCAAAATTTCTTATGTCTCCATCTATTTCAAGCAGGGGCTCAACATCTTTCGTTGTTGGAATATTCTTTGATATCCTTCAAACAAGAAACAAATGAAAAGGTCATTAATGTCACTATTAGAGAAGCAAATTCTATACATAACTAAATTTGCTATTTACAAAAATAAGTATTACATACTTTGCTGTCCTTAAAATGTTTCTCAAAGAAAAAACCAAAGTAAGTGGTACAGTTACAAAATGACTGAAGTAACAAAGGCAGGACTCAGGCTAGGGGCGCGGGGAGGAAAGGGGCGCAGATGCCGGGCGCTGCACGGGCCAGTGGTCCCCGGCAGCGGAGGCTGAGTGCGCTGTCCTTTCCCACACGAGGCGTGTGCGTCTCGGACGGCAGCAGCGGCCACTGTGGGCCACAAGAGCACGGGAATGGCCCTGCGCTCTGTGTCTGTGACAGCGATGGGTCTTGCCTTCGCAAAGATGAAATGTGAGTAACTTTGAAACAAATTACATGAACCAGCAAACAGTTATGAGCACAGGTGTTTCCTTCTTAAAAAAAGGTTTATTTTCTATTACAAAAGTAATATGTGCTTACTACATGTGCATGTTTATAAGGCAGAGAAATACAGAAAAACAGAGGGAAACATCCATAATTTTATCACAGACATAACAACGCCTACTAAAGCGTGCCACTTAGACTTCAGATGCTGTCACAGCGGTGAGCACGCAGGGTGGTCACACGGCGAGTTTCTGTGTGCCGGCAGCCCCGTGCCGGGCGGAGGCCTCGCCGTGAAACACACTCCTTTGGACGTGGGCCCAGCAGGGCTGGTGCGTTGGAAGGGTGTGTGCAGGCGGGAGAGGGCACAGAAGGGATAAATTGTGATGGGAAAAGTTCAAATGAAAACCTGAAGAGACACGTAATAAACATTTCTTTCTGTCAAACTATACAAAGCTGCCACTTTTACGATCCAAATGGTCAAATGTCAGTAATTCCATACGGTTCAGCCTGCCACACGCGAGGCCACGGCCCACCCGCGGCAGCAAGAGCGCAGACGAGAGACAAAGCAGCGCAGAGAGACGGAGGCGGGGAATGGGAAAGGCGGCTGGAGGCCGACAGAGGGGACGGGCCGACCGCGGCGTCTGCACCGTGATGCCGCAGGAAAGGGAGGAGCTGCTGGTGCCAGCGAGGACGTGCGTCACGGCCCTGGGACGCTGCCCCGAGAGAAAGGAAGCGGCCCAGACCTTCGTTACCCACCAGCAGGGGCCGGGAAGCGCGCGGGCTGCGGGGAGAAAAGAGCCGGAAGGGGCTCCGGAGGAGCAGCAGGAGGCGCCTGCAGCGACGGGCGCGCCCGCTCTGCTGGGGGGGGGTTGTGGTGCATACAAACGTGTTTCAGAACTTGTGGGGTTGGACAATTTTAATCTGTCAGTATATGTCATATATCTCATAAAGCTACTTAAAAACCACGGTACACTTGGAGCTATCTTCAAAACACTCGACTCCCATTCGTCGAGAATGTTACCTGCTAGACTGCACTGAGGACAGTTTCCGAGGGACAGCGAGCCTCCTCACGCCCTTCGGTGAGAGAGCTGGGACCTCGCTCTATCGCAAGTCACGGCTCCAGGGTCTCTGGGACGGACTAGCACTGCTCTGCTAGGACCCCGTGTCTGGCTACCAGCCACACAGTACAAGCTATGAGGGAAAGTCCAGAGAACAAAACCGGCGAACGAGAAAAGACGAGGGAACCAGCGCAGAACTGGGGACGGCAGTGTTGCCTTAATGAGTGTCCGGAGTCCCTCTCACTGACTCAGGCGCACAAGCGTGGCATGGAAACGCCCTCTGAACCGGTTACCCGGCACTAAAACGCTGAGGCTGATTACCACGTGTGTCGAAGACGAGACGGGAGGCGCGGAGGACGGCTGCTCGGATCATCTGCAGAAGTGGCCCCAGATCAGAGCACAAACGGTTACGGCATTTCGTCTTTTCAGGAGTGCGACACAAACGCTCGGAAGAGAAGCCAGAAAGGTGCAGACAGAAACACACAGCTGACAAGTCGCGCCAAGTGAAGGAACTGCACTGCCACGCCAGCTCTGCGGACGCGCGCGGGCAGCGCTCCCAACGTGAGGACCGACGCCCCTGTCCGCCAACGGCCAGCCCACTGCTGCCTTCCGGGCGGAGTCCCCGTCCTGACCTTCACACGCTCAGTACGCCACACTCTTCTCCCAAAAGAGGCACTGATGGAAATGATACGCTTTTGGCAGTGGGCCACCAAAATCCTACGTGCCTGTATTTTTTTCCAGGTATTTTTCCAAAGGTTAGTATATTTATAATTTAAGTAACTTCACTTTTCAATTAAGAGTGACTTTGCCTTCCCAGCACTCTGAGTCACGTGCACTGAAGTGGCCACCAGTTAAACGGACCACAGGAAGCACCGCGAACCCTCACGCAGCAGTGGGCTCCAAGTCGGCCTGAAAGCAACCCGGCGGTGCTTGTTAATGCCAACATCAGTGTGAATCAAAAGCATTTTGATTATAAATGATGGCGATTTATAGACAGTCTATATTACTTCCCTGGCAGAAATTACATAACCCATTCATATTACTTCCATTCAAAATGAGGTCTTAAATTACATGGCAAAAAATTCTATTTAAAATCAAAACATAAACAGGGTCTAAGAACATAATTTATGGAGATGGCATTATTTATCAGGCTTTATCTAAACGTAGCTGCCTAAGATGTCATTATTTAATCATGAGGTTAAAAATCAAGATAAATTTTCCTTAAAATTGTAAACAGTAAACACGGGTCACTGCCCCAGAATCTCGCCGCCATGAAGCAAACTTGACTTCCAGTGGACTTCCCAACGCTCTCCTGGGCGGATGCCCGTGTGTGAACAATCACACCCAGCGCACACGGCATCTGAGGCTCTGGGAGACGGACGGGGCGGGCAGGAAGCAGCGGCCGCACTGCTGCCCAGGTCAGACACAAAGATCAAGGGCAGCCTTGTCAAGCCCACCGCCACCTGTGCGAGGACAGCCACGAACTCTGGACAGGAGCCGCCTACGCTGTCCCCTTCCATCCTAACTGAGGTAATGCCTAGTCACCCTTTGCAGATCGGCTCCACCCCCACGGGAGTCCAGTGGCTCCCCTCTGATACGAGCCCTCATAGGACAGAGGCTGTCATGCATGCCACACGGCACAAGTGGCATGTTACAGTCACTCTCGGCATAATTTCATTCCTGTCTGCCCCCCCCAGACTGTAAATCTCACGAACTCCGTCAGAGCCAGGAGCAGCATGGTTTCGTTCGCCATGGATCTCCAGGGCCCTGTGCAGCCCCTGCCTTTTCCACAATAATTGCTTGCAGACCAAATGAACTGCATGAGAAAACGCATTGTTCCCAATGAACTTATCCTTTTAAGCCTGGCTTCTGCCCCCGCTGGTGTGGCTCGGTGGTTGAGTGCTGGCCTGCGAAGTGAAGGGCCGCAGGTTCAATTCCCAGTGTGGGCTCGGTCCCCGGTGCAGGGTACGCGAGAGGCAACCACACATGGATGCTTCTCTCCCTCTTTCTCCCCACCTTCCCCTCTCTCTAAAAATAGATAAAACCTTAAAGGATAAAAATAATTTTCACCTCAGTTACACTTTCCGACATAGAAAAGAAAACCTTGGGAAAGCGCAGGGCAATCCATTTTGAGCTGACCTGTGTGACACGGGGCCCCACTTCGTTCTGCCTGCCTGTGGCTGTCTAGTGGCCCCAGCGCCATCTGCGGAAGTGACCAACCCCCCCCCCCACTCAACGGGGGTGGTGTCCCTGTCGAAGCCCAACCGGCCACGGGCACACGGGCTTATTCTGGACCCTCAGGCCGGCACCTCAGGCTGCTCGGAGGGCCATTGCTCCATAACAGGTTGGGAAGCTGAGCATTCCCCAACTTGGTCTTTTTTGAGATTGTTTCAGCTATTTGGGTTCCCCTGTGACTTACACGAATTTGAAGGTCAGGTTTCTGCTTCCGCCCGGAAAGGCTACCGGGACTTTGCGAGCTGTCCCACTGCGCCGGTAGCTCGCTTTGGGTAGCACTGACACCCTCTGTTCGGTCTTCCACCCACGGACACAGGAAGTCTTTCCAGTTCCTCAGATCTCCAACTGACTAGTGTCTGCCGTCGGCAGTGCGCACACACCTGACTTGCAGGAGGCCGTGCTGAGTGCAGAGCGGCCCTCGCTGGGGCCGGCAGCGGGGCAGGAGAGGAGCAACAGGCTCTGCAGGGGCAGCCGGAGCCGCTCTCAGGGCGGCCGTGCACGTGGGCCCAATGTCCGCCCCACAACTGCTTTCCGAGCTGACAGAAGCCAGGCTGCGTTGTCTGGGCATCCTACCCAGGGACAGCACTCGGGCACAGCACAGAACGTGTGCGCACCGAGAATGCAACCACCCAAACTTTCAGGTTTATCTGTTTCGGTGTTTGACAGAGGTAATTAAAGATCGTCTAATTAGGGTTCAACAACACAAACTGTGGAAGTACTCGTCTAAGTTGCCACAGAAATCACTGGCAGGCCTAACTTGCTACAAAATACTCACGAGAATATAAAGCACTGCATAGGGAATCTAGTCAATAACACAGTGATGACTACATCTGCTGCCAGGTGGGCAGGAAACTCATCTGTAAGTTACGTAAGTGTCTAACCACTACGCTGCACACCGGAGACTAGTACAAGATAATACTGACTGTCAGCTGCAATGGAAAAACAACAAACACACAGGTGATGAACAGAATGTTGCTCACTATGCATTAAGACACTGAAGGGGACCAACACGCAGCAAGGCCGTGCCACCAGGTCTCCTGGTTCGTGTTTCAGTTTTTTGCAGACTTGGAAATAAAGTTTCTCTTCCACCTTCAGGGGCTAATGTGAATTCCTTCACTGTTCTTTTAATCCAGGCTAACGCTTTACTATTCACAGAATCACACAAGCAAGCACATCGCCCCACCCTTCATGCCCACGTGCAGAGTGCGGAAACCATGAGAAGTCACATGATCATTAGTGACCCAGGTGCCTGGACCAAGGGGAGAGGCAGACCCAACACTTCGGCTAGTTATA